TTGGTGGCTTTAATTCATCCATATTTAATTTAAGACTTCAAATAGTCTATATATATATGTGTGTGTATATTTTTAAACACTTCAAATGAAAATAAATAAGACACTTCCCAATGATAAAAAATTTTGATTTCATTCTAAATGGCTTCCTGTCTTGTATCAGTGTTGAGAATATCTTTAAGGTTACTGTCAAAGGGACGTTTTTTGGTTCTTAAAAAAAGTTTATTGTCTGCACCATTTGATTAATAAGTGAAGAGTAACATAATTTATATGTTATAACTAAACTCGTTGATGCAACAGTCCTTAGAGAGCCATGGTCGGCAGTGCCCTGATATCTGCTTTCTTGACCATGGGCCCCAGGATGCATGAATATATGCCCTGGACAAGTGGTCAGCTTGTTGCAGAATTCCCTGGTGTTTAGACCACAAGAGAACTTGGTATTCATTTTATCGACCCACACAACGGATGAAAAGCTGAGTCAACCTTGCCCAGCCCAACTATCACACCATGGGCCTGTGGTGCTGCTTCACAACACACTAGCCACAGCGTCTAATTTTTATGTTATAGGTAAGTGCAAATAATGACTACGAGATCAGCTAAGAATCGTTTATTCTACAGTATTAGTTATATTTTATATTGCACTTATCAATATCATGTATTATGTACAGTTACAGCTACCTATGTGACAGTGGCCCCATTCAAAATAGTATTTGGCTGTAAATTGTAGCACTCCCATACATGAATTTTAAGAGGCCACTGTGATTAACTAACTACCTTTGTGGTAACTTTCTATGTGCTTTGTGATATGGCTTCTGCCCACTGAACATTGGTATGTGGAGAACCATGCTTTTTTGCTGCCTTATTTCTGCAGTAACCTTTGGCTGGATTCCATCATCACAGAGGCTGCAGAATGAGGCCACTAACTCAAGATGAATCTCATGTGAACTTGAATACAGAACTAAATGCTTAGGCATCTGCAGCATTTTTTCCCCAATAAACTCCCTAAATGCATCTGCATTGTGGTGGTCGTTCTGCGAAATAACACAAGAACTCATATTATTTAAACAATCCCCAAAAACTGCTTGGCTAGGAAGTTTTTCCTTACGCATTAGCCAAAAGTTATCAATGCTAGATTTAGCAAACATGGATTTCTGGTTTTTTCCAAAATAAGTATTTATGGTATGCTCCTGAGGTGATCTGTACTTACCCAGCTATTCAATAAATACTTTAGGTTTTTTAAGTTCTTTGTTTAAGTACTTGATTGGCAAGATAAATCAAAAAGTTTTTCCAGGAAACACAAAATAATTTTAATTATTCAGAATTAGGTTATCTGAGCGTGCACTCTAAGTTCTTTTTTAATACATCACAAGTACTGTCCTTTTTTAGCCAAAGCTGAGATGTATGTAATTTACATTAGGATAAGTGAAAGAGAAACTGGTTTTAAAACTATTGAGATAAAATGTGGTTTTCCTTTAAAATTTAAAAAAAAAATGTTTCAAGGCGATTTTAAATTTCAGCGAGTCTTCATTTATTGAATGTACATGATACTAAAATTTCAAAAGTATCATCCTATTCATTCTAAATAAAAGTTATTTAATTAGGTGAGAAAATATATTTTATATAATTTTTGTTTCACATCACGGTATGTATTGTTGCCTTAAATGTCCAGTTGATTATTTTACCAAAAGTAGATAGGGGTACTGATAGGTAGGTAGGTTACGGAGGACTGGAACGCCTGGTGTCTAACAGAGGTAAACAGGCATGTGTTCCAAACCCTCCTCTAACTACGACAAAAGCTTCCTGGAACCACACGAGGCTGCACCAGGAGATTATTGAGGTTGTCAAAGGGAAGTACATGGCCTTACAAGGGCATTAGTAGGATTGTATTACAGTTTGAAGAGGAAAGCTGTGGTGTTACAGATAGTAGGTAGTTAAACTAAAAATACTTGAATAATAAGACGCATTTAAAAAAAAAAAAAAAAAAAAAAAAAAAACATAAAAATGCATAGGCAACAATACACAAAAGCACAATGCGTAAAATGCATAAACAGAGAGCACAAAAAACAGGTACATACACATAGTCACTTAAAACACAAAAAGATAAATGGAGTACATGAAGTCACTTGAAAGCTGGAGCACAATGTTAGTGTAAGGCAGTTCTGTTGGATATAAATACAAGTACATCTTGAATGATGAATGATGAGTTCATGAATACTCATGTGTGCAGAAGAAGAGTGCGGTTAGATTGCTAAGGCGTTGATTATTGTAGCATCGCTAAGAACATAGATAAAAACACTGATAAAAGGCACGAGGATGTTGTAGCACTAATTATTGGGCAGTGCCCCAGCAATGTGTGCACCGTGAGTCACACAAGCGTTCACTAACACTGCGTAAGAAGATGTTGTTCACATGCTGTTGAAGGGATTACACACGTATCATTATGGAGGCATAACACATCTCTCTAAGGAGATGCCACATATTTGCGAATTGTTAGTATTGCCACTTTAGATTGTGGGCAGGGATGCTTAAACACACAGTTGTGGTGAAGCCCAGATATTGTAAAATTCACTGGACTAGTCTTAGAGCTTATCGTCAGTACACCATAGCGTCATTTTAGCACGGTAGGCAAAGGTCTGTGCCCAATGCCGCGATGGTATTCATGATGCTGGAGATTGAATTAACCGCTCCTTTATGCGTTATAAGGAACCGGTGATAGGCGTTTCCTATTATTTGTAGGTAGCGGAAGATGGTGTGCAGCCGTCAAGGACATTCAAATACGGTAATGGTCTGGTGACCCTTCTGATCCACAGACACAGATATCTGTATTTGAGATGCCGTGGCGATTGTAATAGCTGGGAAACGGGCCGTGACCCGTGATGAAGTAGGTGAGAGGTGCTACGGCAAAGAGTCGATCGGTGGAAACTTTCGGGAGGTAGGTGAAAGTCCGTCTGCCTGTCTCGCATTCGGTCCACTCACGTTGCCATTGGTGCATTCCTTGCTCTCGTAGGAGGCCCTTTAGATAAGAGCAGGGCGCAGGTACGGTGATGGGTTGGGCTGTCGGGTTAGAAATTGCATCTTTGGCCAACGTGTCAGCAGCCTCGTTGCCCTCATTATTCGCATGGGCTTTAACCCAGACTAGATTGAAATGGTAATGAGGGTGTTGCATAAGGAGATGTTGGAGACTTCGTGCGATCTGGCAATCTATGAGATGTTGCACTGCTGCCGTAATTCCCAGTACTTCCGCCTGGAAGATGCTATTGTGAGTGCGAAGTTGTCCTTGCCAGTCGTGTACAGTTTTGCCATTCTCATAGTGCACAAAAGCACTGCCTACACCATTCTCCTGCTTTGAACCGTCTGTGTAGATCTGGTTCCCATTCCGTGGTGCGTGTGTCGAGGTGTGAGTCTGTTGCTTGTCAATTTTGATGTGGGTTCCACTTCCTCTGAGAACTGGATGAGTATGGGTAGAAGTGGAGGGACGTTCGAACTGGACTGGACTGTAGCTGGTATTTGCGAAAGTTGCATCTTTGCGTAGGTGGATCAATTTAGTAAAAGTTGCCTCCATCTCTGCTTTTATATGGAGTGGTAATATGCCAGGCTAGAACTGTTGCTGCACTGGTGGCGGTTGTGCGGTAGGCTTTGCTTAATTGCAGGGCGAAGGGGCGTTGTAGCGTTGTAAGTTGCCTGATCTTGCGAGTACCCATTGGCTGCGCCCAGATCACTGCAGCGTATAAAAGCTATTTTTTCTCTACAACTGTGAGGTATAGCACTTTTTTGGATGTCGGGGTTTGGCCCCAGTTGCGACCTTGAAATTGTCTTGCTATGCGGGCGATAATTGACATCTTGTTTCTGGTTTCCATGATATGCGGAATCCAAGTGAGACCTTGGTCCCATACTACCCCTAAATACTTGAGATTCCGCGCAATTTTGATGTTTCGGCCTAGAAGTTTTATGCATGGACGACGAGTTGGATTGGTACCTCGTCTGGGAATTATTATTGCTGACGATTTTTCTATGGAGGTCGTGAGCTTTAATTTGTTGCATGCGGTGGTAAATAAGGTGCAGGTCTCTGTGCTGTTGCGTTCCAGTTCTTTCCTGGTGCGTCCTCTTACGAGCAGGGCTACGTCGTCTGCATAAGCAGTGATGTTTGTATGCTGTGGCCAGTTGGTTTCAAGGACTGAATTGAAGGTGAGGTTCCAGAGTGTACTGATATTGAATTGAAGGTGAGGTTCCAGGGGTACTGATATTAAAAAAAAAGAGAAGAAGGCTGTTTTGGAATTCAAAACACAGGTTTGGTATTTGAAACCCTGGTTCCTGCCAAACAACCGCAGGCCGTCAGGGCTAACATAATAATATGTTTCGTGCAATTTTAGCCTCTGGTTTATTTCTTAGAGATGAATGCATAGCTTCTGTAAATGTGTTTTGAGTAAAAAAGTCTATAATTATGTGCATTTCAAGTGAAATCACGAGGCCAAATTCATTATTTTCCTTGTGAACTTAACAGAGGTCCTCCAGCTATGGTATCACTCTAATGATACCATAGCTGTACTCTTGAAGTAGTTCCATTAATCAGATGTATTCTGCATCAGAACAAAATGTATAAAGCATTCTTTTAGTGAATTTGTTAAGATGGTTCCTTTTGTCACTGTTCTAAATTTCAACTCAAATTATCCATGATTCATATCTCAAAGAAATCATTAATCTTCTTTTTCGTGTGTGCTATATAAGAACTGGAAATCAGGAAAAATAGATTAACTTTTTAATAGAATTTGAAATTTGGAAGTGCACATTGTTTTCAGTAAGTGGGAACAGTAAGTGGGGGATTGTGTTCAGTAAGTATTTGGAAGTCCATTCATTTTGGGAATATGTATAAATCAACTAAAATGTAATATAATTTGATTCACCAAATTTTCATGCAATAATTCTTACAAACAGAAAATGTTTATGAATTTGGATTTCATATCATGTATCTGTATCTTGTTGTATGTTTTTTTCCCATCCTGTAGACTTTAGGGTATAGTAGTGCTGGGGAACGACTAACTATGCGTTTAAGACAGCAGGCTTTCAGTAATATTTTAAGGCAAGACATTAGTTGGTTTGATGATGATCGACATGCAACTGGAAAAATTGCTACCAGGCTGGCTACTGATGTTCCTATGGTTAAAAGTGTGGGTATCTATTAACATTCTAAATTTTCTAAATAGTTGCCTTAATTTTTTTTTTCTTGAAATAAGTATCTATCTCATTTTAGGCTTCTGGACTTCGTATTGGCACTGTGATTTCAGCTTTTGTGACATTAGCTGCTAGTCTAGCAATAGCTTTTATATTTGGGTGGAAGCTTGCTGTAGCACTTTTGATTGTTGTTCCTATTCTGTTAGCATCTGGTACTGTGCAAATGAAAATCCTTAAAGGAAATCAGAAAAGAGATGCGGAACTTATGTCTGATGCTGGAGAAGTAATTTTTAATTTTATATAATTATTAAATATAATAATATATTTGTAAAATTGTAAGCTGTGATAGTGTAAGATCTGCTAAGAGTAAAAGTGCATATTTGAAAGATTGTAAAGCTATTACTAACAAGGATAAGCTATTATGAATAAGTTCAATAGTTGCAAGTAATTTTGTAGCATCTCCAGTCCACGTATTTAATTTCAGTCTGTTTAATATGCTAAAATTAATGTAAGTGCAAATGTTTAATTCCCAGTTTGTAGCGTTTTCTTCTCTTTCTTGTCTGATACTCCTCCTCCTAATATTTTCACAGTTATCTATTAATACCTCTTTTCTACTTTGTAAAATATTGCATAAGCATGGACCCATATTTACTAATTCGGTATCAGTGGTTTTGTTTATACAGTGTAGCAGGGAATGCCCCCCTGTAAGTTTTGAAATGCAAGCATATAAAATAGACAAAATATGGAAGTTCTAACATGTCCATTGATGTTTACTAATGTATATGCAGGTTTGTTTAGGGCTGATATGACTAAATATGTCAAATGGAAGCAGTCATTGGCAAACATCATATATAGTTAAAGCTTCTGGTTTATTTTCTTCAGAATTTTTTTATTTATTTTTTTTTTTTATAAATACCTTAATTTCAAATAAATTTTCGTATGTAATCGCTATACCTTTCTAATAAAAATTTGCTGTTTTCTCTTATTATTATAATATACTAAATGCACATTTGAAATTTACTATTTTTCTTTTTTTTTCTTGAAGGTTGCATGTGAAGCTCTTGAAAATATCAGAACTGTTCAGAGCCTTACTCTAGAAGAAGTGTTTTTCACAAGATATGTGAGTCACCTCCTCCTTCCTTATATGTAAGTGTTAGAGCAGTTTCTATATACTGAATCTAGATCGTTGTATTTAAAGTTAAGATTACAGACCAGATTTCTTTTAACACTCTTAGCATTATGGACGTAGAATTCCGTATAGAAAGGGGCTTATTTATTCATTACACTGCAAGCTTTTAATGTATGTGATTTTGGGTAGGGTTGAACTGCAGACATCGTGCACTTTATGTTTTAATAGTCCTCTATACTTAACTTGAAAGCAGTAAAACAGGGATCAGTTTATACATACTTGATGAGTTCTATACCATGATTTTGAAAGCATAGACAAGAGATAAGTACTGTTATTTTACTTCATTACAGCATTTCCATATGATAATGGCTTACTGGCCAACTTATTTACACTTTGTTAACTGGAATTAAATTTTTTCAGTTAAATATATAAAATCTTCAAATGAGACAATATCAGTTTTTGATAGAATTACTATATTTAGGTCTGCGCTTGTGTATCTTTTCTGGCCAGTATACAATGAAATATATGCACTGCTTTGTGGTCATTTACTTTGTGGTAGTTCACATATTGTGGTAGTTCAGCATGAATACTTTGCATAAATATTATTGAAAAAGGTGTCAGGTTTTTAGGGGGAGTTTAAAATTGTACCACTTTTATATTAATGGCTTTACCAAACTGAATATAAATTGCAAATTAAACTACAGAAGTTTTGAATTATGTGAGTTAAAACTGTTTTTTAATAAAAAGCATGAAGATAAAAAAGCATAAGAAATAGGTTCCCTATAGCTTGTTAATTTATGTGTAACAAAATTTAATGTAGTTGCATATCAATGGCAGGTTTCATTCATAAATTTAATACTGAAATTTAGTAATCAATAAAGTATGAGCAAATTTAGCATATGGTGTAAATCACCTTAAATAGTTACAGTTTTAATCAATTCCCTCCTCTTCCTCCCTCCCATTTTCATATTAATTCTGACCTTCAAAATTAAGCAAAACTGAACCTTAGATTGTATTTAATTTTAATTATACAGTGAAGAAAGTATAAACACATGTCCTGAAGACATTATTGAGAATTTCATTTTTCATGTTCTGAAGTAGGAGAATTAATCTGCTTTTGCTAAATTTCTTTAAAAGCTAGTGCACTTCTTTTTTTCCAAAGTGATAATTGTCACAGACAATGATTAGCTATGGGAAATGTTCTTGTGTTTGCTGATGGCATGCGATATTTGTATATATATTTTTTTATATATATATATATTTTTTTTTTTTTTTTTTTTTTTTTTTTTTAAGGAAATAAGCTTTCCTAAAGCTGCACTTTTAAAATGCTTATTTTAAACGATGTGTAATATATTATATAATCATTTAAAAATATTTTTGAAACAACCAACCAACCAGAACTAGACCCCCACTGTGCAAAATTACTTGTTAATTAGGGATTAAAGGTGTAGTCTAGAAGAAATTCTACTTACCATTGCGAGTGCGCAGCTGAAGGGCCGGGGACTCGAAAATACCTTAGAACCAGCGAACCAGTTAAGAAAACAAGCCAAATTACCCTCCTTTCCTGGAAAAGGTGGAGGCCTAACTCCGTAAGTGGACTTGCTACTACTAATGTAGCATTCCACCAATTCAACGTGAGCCACAAGTGAAACTCACATCCGCTCAGACACGCACAAACAGAAATAGTCTTCATTAGATTAAGCAAGTCCTTTGAAAAACGTTATGTGGCAGTTTCTAAGGTTTGATATCTTTGGCAGTAAATTTGAGTCATGAATAATAAAAGGTAGGAGCATCGAGCACCTGAGCTGCTGAAATCTGCCAGTATGTTTTGACTTACTTGGAATTTGATTTCAGCATTACTCGCCTGTTGTTGATCCGATGCCTTAGTGATTGCATAAACTATCAATTGATGTGTATTTTCTATCTGTGATAAATACTTCATTCTTATAACATATTAAGCTGAAAAAGAATATATTTGCATTATTTTAATGTATTTGTAAATACCCGAGTTATATCTTTTGTTTATAAGTGAATAATATGTCTTTCAGTTTGTACATCAAAATTCCCGTGCATGTTTTCAAAAGGTGTAAACAAGGGGTTTTCAAAGTTGAGCAATTTCATAGTTTCAGGGAAATGCAGTCACGTTTCATTTAGCCAAGTTTTAGTTCATGAATATAAAAACCTACTTTTATTCAAGTTTTGATATTTTTCAACATTTTCTATACAGTTTATTGTTTAATTTATAAAACATTTTAATAACTAATCTAAATCTAAGTGAATGTATGTATATATTTTTCAAGTTTTGGAAGGAAGGGGTGAGTTATCTTCTAGTAGTGATGAAAGGGGTGCATAGGGCAAAAAAGGTCGAGAACCACTGGTGTAGATTTTACATGTACCAGTAATACCTGACTCTAAAAATTAACGTTTTAGTCTATTTTATTGCAATAAATGATTAAACAGATTATACTCTAATATCCATTTCGGGTACTTAATGTTCTTAACATTTCTTAATAATTTTAAAGTTTCTGGAGTGTAAAATTCACATGAAATTATTTGAAGTTTTCACAAATATTCTCCTGTAAATTTATTGCAGGGATCTGCAAAATTCATATTTGCATTGGTCAAGGATCAATAGTATGATCATTATGTTTCTGCACCATGTACATTCCTAAACTGTATAGCAATCAGCAGTTCAATGTAGCCTTGATTTTTTGTGCTATAGATCAATAAATATTGTGGTTAGAAAATCATGTTAATTTGAATTTTTATGTGTATACCTTATTATTTTTCATTTCTGTTTTTACTGTCTTCTTTGTATAGGGAAAGTAAAAGAAATGCCAAAGTTTATGCTGTAGCGTATGCCTTTTCTCAAGCAATAATGTTTTTTACATATGCTGCTGCTTTTCGAATGGGTGCTTATTTAGTGGCTCGAAATGAAATGATTCCAGTCAATGTTTACAGGTATTTTCCCCCCATTTGTTTTACAAATTTTCTATGTTACTTGAATCGTCCTTTTGGTATTTTATAGCGTTTATCTGTTATGCGTCAGTGTGTTTTTAGTTTTGTATCTATTCCGAAAAAAATGTCGTGTTGTTCATGTAAAAGGAAAATAAAACTGTGAATTTGAGTATTCAGACACTTCCCTTTTTACAAATGAGTCCTCGCTTTATGTTCGGAATGACCATTGTGCCACGAAATTGTTCATGAAATCTTTTGAGGTTTGCTATGCTTATCTCCAAACTATGTTTTTGAGATAAGTGTCACAAATACTGTTAAAGAAATAATTAAAAATAATAATCAAATAAATAATACATTTTAAATGCAGTACATTATAAGTAAGTAAATAATTACTTTATTGTACAATGCATACCTTGAACTGTCATATTTGCTTTGAGGCATGTGTTGATAAGATGAGACTAGTAGATCTTTATATGGGTAGGGGTGAATCAGTGTCTGACTTATTCTTTGCAAACTGATTGATAAATAAAAGAAACATTTGTGATGATTTGGCCATGTGATAGGTGTAGCTGGTTTTTTAGATGAGCCAAGAATACTAATTTCTGAATTCTTTCTAAGAAAATGAGTGTCTAAATGTGTCTGAATAGGTTTTCTGTCTCTTTCATCATAAATGAGACAGTAACATTGCATGGCATCATATTCATCCTTTTCTTTAGCAACCCTCTCAGAATGTTTTTTTTTCCACTTCAAACAAATTTCACTCTTTGAGAGCAGGTATGTATGTATATGCAAAATTTCTTAAGCTGGAAAATGCCAGTATTTTTATTTTAATATAACCCACTTCCTTCATTTTCTATAATTTAGGTGCAAAAATTTTATAAAACCTATACATTTTAGTCAAAAAAATGTATTTGAGCACAGCAAACTTTCAAACATTTTTTTGAAAAAATGATTAAGTATTTGATGCTTTTCATACAAGTCATATCTTAGAGCTAAGTAAAATCAAAATAACATATAGTTAATGTATAATAATGCTAAATAAATATCAAATTAAACATTCCCTGTGTAGAAATGAAAGAGTAACAAAAAATTTTGACATGCAAATGTACATTTTTCAGAAAACTCCAAAGCATATTTTAATAATGTCGTAGTTTTCTTTTCTTCACTGAGCCTTTTAGGTATTAATTTCATATGTTTTTTTTTCTGGTTATTTTTTTCCTTCTATTCTGTGGTGAGTTTTGTGTCATTTCTGGTAGAAATTTTAAACTTAGGACTCTGTCTTGCAAATTAACCCAAAAATGCTTAGTAGGAGGGAGGTCTGGACTGTACATAGATATTTTTATTTAATGTAGATAATTGTATAAAATCAGCATCTTGCAAATAAGAATATTATGTTTGGGATCCTTGTCTTTATGCAATCTGTGCTATAAAAATATGCCCAATTTTTAGCACTACAATTCAAATTTTATTTTTAAATATTTAATTGCATTTAGCCTGCTGTCACTAAAATATAGATCTCCAAAGCCCCAAGCACTCATACGGCCTCAGAACTGGCTGAGATTCTTTGTTTGAAGGTCAAAATTATGTTTCTGCCCTATAATTTACTTTCATTCACTCCCAGAAATTTTGAATTTCCTTTCATCTACATTTATAAATAAGTTTCAAAAATCTTGAGGCCTTTTTAATATAGGACTTAGCAAACTGTAACTGTACCCTTCGATTCGCTTTTCTAGAAATTGTTTTCTTCTAATTATTCAGCCATGAATGTTACATTTTCTAAAAATATTCCTAACAATTTCTCCATTAGCAGACATGCTAATAAACATTGTTAGTCTTATAAAGTCAGTTTCACTACACTGATTTTGGGAATACAAGAAAATTTCCAATAGTCCATTTTTCTTAATGATCAGCTGAATGCCTTGGATGCAATGTTTATATTTTGTTTTCAATCAGATTTATTTCATGATATATTATAATTATATTATGAATAGATTTACTTACATTTAATAATTCTGTTTTCCTCAAAAATTTCCAATGTTTCTAATGAAAAATTATAAATTTTTTCATGTCAATAGAAATCTCAGAACTTTTCTGACTCATATTAACCAAATAGCTCCTCAACATTAAACTTCGCCTTTTCCAAATTTAAAAATACTTCTTACAGGTATTTTACAAGAAAAGTCTCAGATAAATGGGGTTTTTATTATCACAGTTCCAGAATACCTTTTTTTAACCTAAATTTCATATTGAAGGACACGATATTTAAAATATATTATTTATTTATTAGTGTTATTTAATATATTCATCATAACATGTTTAACATTCTATTCAGACAAAGAAAACAAAAGAAAAATATTCAATTTTGGAATAATAGCTGAGTATTTGCTATTGAATAATTGAATATTTCCTGTGTCCCAATACTATTCTGAGTCAGTGTTGCAATAAAAGTTTATCATTGATAAGTGTAATAGATTAAGCATTACAGTGTGTCATCGTATTTGGGGCTGTGCTTAGATATATTTTAGGATCTCCTAACAATGAAATGCATCTCAGATTCTAAAGGGTAGAATTAAACTAATACTACCACTTTTGTCACAATGACCTTTATCAAAATAAACACAGATGAGTATATAAAACTTGAACCTTTAAACTTAATTTTTGAATTGTAGCAAATAAATTGTTTTTAATGCAAAATTTGAAGATTATCAGAAATATGCTCATATAACTTAATGGAAACTGTTGCAAAAAATGTAATTTATATATTGCATATAACTGGCAATTGTCATTCAGAAGTTGTCGTCAAAATTTCCAAAGGAAATTTAAAGAATGTTACAGCTTTAATCTTTTTTTCTTTGTTATTTAATCATTTGTAACTGCATTCAGAACTAAGTTTATTTATATGGGAAAAGCTGTTCTCCTCCTTACCCAAAAGGACTCATTTTATACTGCTTCCTCTTTGCTTTGCCTGCACTCACATGTGACTACCAGTTTGTATAATAGAAAAGGCTTCAAAGTCACATTGTTTGTTTCTAGACTATAGTTAAAAAACTTGTTGTGAATGGCATATCCTGTGTGCCGCTTGGCTCTTTTTGAGGTTAATTATAGGTAGTGGATTTCAGTCAAATACTGTTAGTAACTGAAATTCTTAGATGGAATTGCTTAACAAGACAGCATCCTTTTAAAACTGAAATCTGTTGTCTAATTTTTTATTATTATTATTATTGTGAACGATAGAATTTCACAATAAAAATTGTAGGGTATATTCTTGCACATGAATACTATGATGTTTTTTGTATGGATTTGATAGTCCCTTGTGCAAATGCGTAGATATAAAGGGCTTTAAAATGTATGCCACATATATAACAATAAAACATGCATGTGTATGTGTGTGCGATGCAAACGAAAGCCATTGTTGGTTGCATGTCATTTGCAAATAAGATACTGCTCTTCCAATTTCCACTCACTTCATTTCTTTCTTACTATGTTAAGAATATACAAAAAACTAGAGCCTCTTATAGAATTTTTGATTTTTTTCCCAAGAAGTAATAAATATAATAGGAGCTTGAGTTTTGAAGCCATCAAAATATTTTCTTCATTGTTTTAAAAGCATAAATAATATAAAAAGTTTCATCAGTTCTGAGAACAATAAACTGCTATTTTGCTGCTGCTGTTGTCATCTGGCTAATAGATATGAAATCTGGTAACAAAAATTACTCCCAGGCTTAAGGATACATTTATTATATTGGAGGATAATTGTTTCTTGAGTGAAGACAAAAATGTGTCAAAGGAGCCCTGATTTACCGATTTATTTGTTTTATTTCCTGATTCACTGGGAAACAAGAAGGATAAATAGAAATTATATGTGTAGTCCATAATTCATTACATGACTTTTAGCCAAAAACACTGGTGTCTGTGATATATAAGATCTATTGTTTAACACTTTCACGACCAATCCGCCTCACACGGGCTTCATTGAGATAACCGAAAAGTCCGACTTTGCAATCTTGTTTTCTTCCCTCCCCTTAAGGTATGCCGTAGCAGCTGCAGTTTCCCAAAATGCATTGTATCAGTTTACTGCAAACTTCTTGTCCTAAGAGGTTTCTTACCTTTTGGTTGCTTGTGGCAGTTCGTTTTTGATTCTTTTTTGGTACAGTGTGCTTTTAAGCTTTAACAGCAATAAAAGTGCAGTTTAAAAATTTAAGGATTATATTTATTTTTAATCAATTTATTCCTTCGTATAAAAATAACGGAAGTAAACAAAATCTCAGTCGTGATCATAACAAAGCCATAAAGGCTAATGGAAACTTTGCTAGAAAGGCTTGTTGGTCTGACCTTCAGAATGGGTTTATAAAGAACGGGGTTAAAGACTAATGGAAACTTTGCTAGAAAATACAAAGGATGTCATTTGAAATCTTCACACCTATTTTCTGTGTTAATGGACGGGGAGGGAAGGGAATTGCTGTGAAACTGGAAAAGTATTTCGGGCGGTTCGGGGTTTTGAGGATACAGGTTAGTGAAGGGTCTGGATTTCAAAGAGTTAAAACTGTTCTGTTAACTTTTTATATTTATACCCTGACTACCTGTTGAATTTACTTCATTAAATGAGGTAAAGTAACTAAATTCTTGGTAATTTCCTGTGGTACTGCAATCTCTGTCAAATTTGATCATGAAGTCAATAAAGGAGTATTTCATCTGTTTTATGAAAAAGGTAGGTCTTCCAACCTCGAAGTCTCAATTTTTCTTTAAAAAATTTTAAGAATGTACTTATCTAGAAATATATAATTATAAAAAAAAGCTGCTGATATTATACAGATAATAAAAAACTGTTAAATATAGAGTTTTTGATCACCAGTGATGAACTTTCTGAACATTTTCGCAAAAGTTTAGGATTTCATAAAGTCTCCTCAGTAGCTACAGTACCACTAAATAAATTTAAATTTGTAAATTTTTAATTTCTTATTTACTTCAGTTCAGGAGTTTATTATTTTAACAGTCTATTCTTC